AAGTTACCCAGCCTCAGGTATTCCTTTAAAGTGACACAAATGGACTACAACAGGGGTCTTCCAGGGAACTACTAACAAGTAAAAAAACGACAATGCTCTGGGAATGAGGCTTTGAAGGAGTTCCATTCCCATTCTGCCTCCTCTAATAGATGCCAGTCTACTGGTTTTCATCACAATTGTGAACTCTTTGTTTTCAAGGTTACTGCAGAGATGGAGAGAGAGGGATGGAAATGGGACTAGTTACAATGCTATGATGATAACTGTTTTTATAAAGAACCAGTCATTTTTCTTTAATAGATTCTTCCTGGATAGTTGTAAGCCTGTGATCAATTCTCAGAGCTCTGAAAAATTTGATTCTGACCTATTTGTGAGTGTTTTCTATCTTTTTTAATGAAAGTGAGAACTGTCATGTTCTTACTTCTTCAATTTCACTGACATTACCCACTATCTGGGACTTTAAAATGAGATATTCTTGAAGACTAAACAAATTGAAACCAAATCTATACTCTTTCTAGAACACAACTTATAATATTCCAAAAGAAAAAGAATTAATTTTAGACTTTTATAATTAAACCACAAAAATGGAGTCCTATCAAGAGCTCAGAACTTTAACAACTCAGTTACCAATTCTATACATCTTATCTTCCTTTAGTTTTCTTATAATAATTTGAATTATTTTGGATACCTATTTTTAAAACAAAAAGTGTAATTAATTACTGGCTAGCAGAGCAAGACAAAAAAGTATATTAATTAAAAGTTCAATATAATAATCTAGAAATTTTGTTAATGGAAGCTGTATATGTAAGTATAAAACTATTCCCTAATCAGAAATAGTATCCAAATATAAATTCATTTAGCTTTCATTTAATAGAAACTTCTTATACATCTCATGTTCATAAGCAACAACTGTATTTTCATGCATTGAAAGAAGAAATTCTTAACTATTTAGTAGTACTATGTCTTCTTAGTGATCTAAAAAAATATGTGGACTCTCCAGGTAAATAAATATAATTCTGCTTACAATTTCAAGGAATTATTGGATGCCCTGCAGCCTGAAAGTTAAGAAGCCCTATTGAACAAAAAAATAATGATTTTGGTAGCAAAAATAGAGAACAGATATCCAAATAATTATAATATCTAATCTTCAGTAAAGCAATTAGAATTTATAATAGTATAAGATGTATATGTGGTCTCTAACTAATAAACATATTTCATTTCAAAAATTAATTTGTAAATTATTTACTTAAAATGTGTTACTTTTTTTCTAATGAAAATGTTATAAAACAATGATTGGGGACTATTAAAATGTAAGTCACTTAAGGGTAGGGGTTCTTTTTATTTATCTTTTTATTATAATGATCTGTCCAAATAAATAATGTATGATAGGTTCTTAGGTAATCCTTTATAAAACTTATTTCACTCAATAATGTACTTGACTACAATTACACTAAGAAAACAGGAAAAAACAGTGAGATAATGACAAAAATCAAATAAACCACAATGCCAAAAATACAGCAATTGAATAGAAAAGGAAAGAATAAACAATAAAATAGATTTTAAAATATTTGTTGATTGAGAGAGAAATTTATTTAGAAAAGAATATAATGGTAAACATTGATATTTCAAGATATTTGAACTTATAGATTCCTTTTTATTGTGTTAAATTTCACTTCAAAATGTGTTTCTTCTTAATACATCATCTCCTTCTATGCTAAAGCCATTAATGAGGTCATTTTTGGACCCTAAAATTTTGTAAATGAACTAAAAGAGCAGAGGGGTTAAGAGGTTTTTCCCATACTGACCAGAAAAGGATTGAAAAAAGTGGGGATGGGAGGAAGCACTGTTGAAAGAGGCTTTATATAATGAAGTCCTTTACTGTTTGTTACATACAAGGGGGACCCCCCCAAAAAAACAGAATTATCTTTTGGAGTGTGGGCCTCTTGTAGTACACTTGGAATTTGTTCCTCCAGATCAAATGGTCAAAGTTTTTATCTGGAAGTTTTGAGAAAGTTGTGTCACAATTAGTGAAAGATATGCCCCGAGTTGTGGCAAACAGATGACTGGTTCTTCCACCATGACAATGCACCTGCCCACACCATGCTGAGTGGTTTTCTGACCAGAAACTGCATGACTCCTGTGCCTCATCTGCCCTATTCACCTGGCCTTGTACTGAGCGACCTTTTTTTTTGTTTCCCTGGATGAAAAAAGTCCTCTAAGGGAAACGATTTGCCCATATGGAAGAGGTGAAACAATAAACAGAAGCACTAAAAGGTCTCAAAACTGACAAGTTTAAAAACTGTTTTGAGTAGTGGAAAAAGTATCTTGATAGGTGTTTTGCATCGAAGAGTACTTTGAAGGTAACTGAAGGTTAAACATGTAAGAATAAATACACGATTTTTAATAAATAAATTCCATTTTTTGGAGGTCCCCCTCATGTATTATACATCTTATAATAAAACATGTACAAGTTAGAATAAAGTAAGCTAATGTGAATGTGAACAATAAAGGGCATTGAAAAAAAGAAGGCAGAGGTAGTGGAGATGAAATTTTAATTTTGATTCTGTTTCTTGGTGTATTAGTCTATTTTTGTGTTGGTGTAAAGAAATACCAGAGACTGAGTAATTTATTTTTTTAAAAAAGGTTTATTTGGCTCAGAGTTCTACATGGTGCTGGTATCTGCTGAGGCCTTCAGAAGCTTTTACTAGTGGTAGATGGCAAGGAGACCCAGAATGTCACACGGTAAGAACAGGAACAGGAGAGAGAGAAGGATGTGTCAGGCTCTCTTAAACAACCAACTCTTGCATGAATTAATAGAGTGAGGGGGATCTGCTCCCATGATCCAGTCACCTTCCACTAGGTCCCACCCATAACACTAGAGATCACATTTCAATATGAGATTTGGAAGGGATAACCAACAATACTATATGACTTGGTTAACTTTACACTGAGTCATTGTGCAAAAAAGATGAAAAAACTTCATTCTGGTGACAAAAATATAAAGGGCCAGTTGCATATTTTCACTTGAATGCCATTGAACTCTGACTAAAACCAGATAAAGTCACGAGTGATATGCAGAATTCAACCGAATATCATTTAATATTTATAGGTTGTAGCCCTACCATATAGGATAGATATGGAAAGAGTACAGACAGGATTCCATCAAGTTCAAAGAGGCTTAAGAGTATGAAGGATCAATAGAATAACCTGGTCTTGTCTTCAGAATAGGCCTTAAAGACATTTATAAAGCCAGAGCAATGAAGGAGTGAGTTACAACATCAGTGATAGGCTCCCATGTATTATATTAAGAAAAGACAAGACTTAAACTGAGGGATATGAACTACATGCCGAGTCTCTTCCCCTTTTATAAGTTTGGAGTTTGACTCCCTGACTAAGTGACAATAAAGAGATCAGTCTGGCATTCTGAGTCTGTAGCTCCAGAGATCTGGCTGAAGAAATGTCAATAAATAAGCTTAGCCAATTAGAAGGTAAGTGTGTATCTCCTTAAAAGAGTGTCTTTAGCTTGGAGAGATTTAGAATTAGGTAAAATGATAAATCAAATCTCTGGTATTAATAATTCTGAGTTAAGAAATAAGTTATGAATATTTATTTAAATTATTTGTTACAATGCTTAAGAGAATTTGGCTTATATTATTCTAATTTATATAGGTAACTGAATAATGATTTAGACTTGTGATTTTTAACTGTAATTTAAGTTTATAAACCATATCAAAACATTTAAAGAGAAACAACAATTCAACATATCTATATGTTTAATGAACTAGGTTTATACAAAATTACCTTAGTACTTGGTTTTCTTTATTAGTACAACCGATGTACCAAAAAATCAAATACAGTATATTAAAATTAAAAGCAGTAAAAGTTTAAGGGAACATAATTTAGTTGTAAAGTCTGTTTTATTAAAGTATACAAGCCATAAAATGTCAAATCCCTAAATCTTACGATAAAATTTTAAAGATTAAAGCACTAAAAACAAATTAGTTAGTAATACTTTGTGAGTAGTGACTTCTAAGAACCTTCCATAATCATTATATGAATAATAATAATTCAAAGGGTCACAAAAGTATTTAAAAGTAATGATCCTGATCTGCAGGAACAGATTAACTTGGAGCTCACAGTATGTGGGCTTCTATTTTTTAAAGTAAAATAACTGGATAAAATATAAATAGACTACTCTGTCCTAGATTTTCCAATCTAAACTATAACCTGCATTGCTCTTGGGATTAAAAAGTAAAGGACTAAAGAAGGATTTATCTTTTAGTTGACTGCAGAAAAGTTAAAAGACAGGTTGATTAGAAAAGTTGATACAATAACCAATTGTGCCATCTGAAGTATGAGCATGTATATCATGCTTACATGGAACTATGATTTTAAAAACTAAAAAACTTTAAAATGTTTACGTGTTGTTTATAAGTATTTATACGTATAAATGATTATCCATATTAATGTCTTGAAATAAAATTTTAAGTTCTGCAAGTCCTAACGGTACTGAATTTTAAAACTTTTTATGCATATACCATATGTGACTTAAGCCAAATGTGATATATGAATCATCTATTTCTACTAGGTTATAATCCTAAAGGTAGTAAGTTATGCACTTGGAGGGAACTTAGCTTCTTCTGGATCTGCATTTATCATCTTTGCCATTATTTCACCTCCCTCCCTTCCCATCCAACATCCCATATCATAGATTTCAAAAATAGACCCTAAAAAATTTATGTCCAGATTTCACTTTCTTCCTAGTCAAAAAACACAGGCCCATAGCAATCCTAGATGACTTTATAACTCTGTAAATTACTCTTTTAAATACTATGCTCTAAAATTCTGACAAACTAGAATGGAGTTTAAACTGTCTCCACCCACTTCCCACTACATCACACCCCCTCCTTCCCCACCCCCAGATGAAGGTTAGGTTGATTAATGGATTTTGGAGATGGAATAAAGCCAGACATCAAATAACTTACTTGAAATCCATCTCTTACCTTCTGTACTTAACCCTGGACTTGATGTGAACTTGGCTACATCAACAATTTTTACAGCAAATTGTTGCCCAGTTTCTCTGTTGATACATCGTCGTACAACACTGAAGGGACCCCTAAAAAAAAAAAGTCAATTTTAATTCATTTATTTTCTTAAGTGTTCATTTTCTATCAGTATCTTACTGTTTCATTGTCCTTTACAGCTAGCTATACTACATAACCACCAAGTCATTTTATTTTAGACTCTAGATGGAATATAGTTTTCAAAATAAATTTTAAGTAATGTGACTTTAAATATATTAATCTATAATTCATGAGGTAAATAATTTATAATTTAAAAAGATTATTAAACCAGAAAAATAGAAGAGACACAATTAAATTTGCAATGTTAAATAATTTTTTAAAAAATTCTAAATAGTAGTCTTATGTTTAAGGCAAATAAATATTGTAATATTCTATACAGATTATCAATATCTTAAACAAAATAAGAAAAGTCCATAGTGGTGGTGGTGTATAGAGCTTTATTCTTTTGAACAAGAAACTAAAGTCATTTTTGACACTTTTCTTTCATCTTACTCACCACGTACATAATCTTTATTAACAAGTCCTATTGTGTTTATTTCAAATATCTCTTTAATATGCCCTCTTTTTTCAATGTCCCATACTCTACTTCCATCTTCAACTAGGACTACTGAAACACTTGTTTCTCTAATTCATTCTTGCAGTGATGTTTAAAAATGAAAATCTGATATGATATCCCTGCTTAAAACTCCAGAGATAAAATATTTGCAATACACACACTTAGTCAAAAACCAACATGTAGAAGTAATTTCTAAATAAAATAAGAAAAAATATTGCCAATAAAATCTGGGCAAAAGACTTGAACAGGCACTTCACAAAGAGAAAGCCCTGCATGATGTAGTCTCCAACAACCTCTCCAGATTCACCTGAAATCACAGAGAAATCCTTCATCCTCCTCAAATTTCAATGCCACAGGAAAGGGAGTAATTTCTGCCAGTGGAACCACTAGTCTAGCTATTTGCTTACCCAGTCCTCTCCTCAATCTAAATTGATGCCTCTTAATACTAGGTACACAGTTAAATCAGTTGAGATGACTTAAAGATACCAATGCCCCAGTAATAAACACACATGGTTGCTTGTGATTAATAGTTATCAAATAAACATCTGAACTCAATTAAGATAATCTAAAGACAGATTTGTATGTACTTGAATTGACTCATAATAGAGAATGCGATAGCAACAAACTCTAGCAGTTTATTTGAAGGTTAGTAAAAATTAAATACACACATGGATACATGTATATATGTGTATTTTTCCCGGGGTGGGGCGCAAACAAATAAAAAACTACTCTCATTGGCTTTTACAGGTACAAATAGTACACTTGGTTGCTCAATTAGTAGGCAGAAAAGTTCTTCATTTACACTAGGATATTTATGATACCACTTGTCTTAAAGTTTGTCTTTCTTCCTTTGATTAGAGGACAAATGAATTTAAGTCAGACAAACATTTCTCCAAGATGACATAAATGCCATCATGAGGACATCAGCTACACTGCAGCTTCAAATCTTTCTCTTCAAGCAACCTAACAAAGCTAACCTGGAAGGAAAAGAAATGGTAGTAATGTACCTTTCAGAACTTTCTAGAAAGAATCTTTTTGATAATAATTCAAAACTGTTAAAAGTTTTCTTCTGTGAGAAGACAATAGAACAAAGGGAGGCAGGACTCCCACAAACGTTTTCATTCTCTACCTGGATATCTTACTTGTGATTACTTATCCTGATAATAGCAAGCAATTTCAGGAAATGTTTAAAGTAATTGGTTATTGTCCACATATAAACCCTTGGGACTCTATTCATATATACATTTGTGTAGTCTGCTTCAATTCACTATATCTCTTTGGAAACTTCCTGAGATCTGTGCATGGGATTGTTCATGGTCAATGGAGTCAATTCTTTACTTTTTCCTGCTTGAACAAAGGTGAGAAAGAAAGCACGGCTTCTCTCTCCACTCTTAGTAAAAGTAAAATTAAGAGAGCTAGAGAGAAAGGAGAGAAAAGAGAATACTGAGAAAACAAAACACAGAAACTTAAAAAATCTGTGAATAAAAATAAAAGCAAATCTCCAATGTTTTAAGCTAATTTTATAATATGAGGCAAAGAAAATAAGTAGGTCTATGAACTGCTGAGGCCCTGAAGACATGTCACAAGTAAAGCATTTTAAGTGTCTGGCTATCAATGATATCCATGGGGCTAACAAAGATAAATCTAAGAAGACATCAAAATATGTTTTGAGGTTTTTGTGATTTAATCCATTAACTAGAAACTCAGGAGAAACTGGTAAAAAATTGAAATCTGGCTTGGTCTCCCATCTTCATAAAGAAGGGGTGATAAAGGGTGTGTAATACATCTACTGCAGTACACATTAATTACACTTGGATGATAGTTTAGAAAACAACAAAAATTTAGGAGATATAGGTTTCAGCCTGACTTGTACCTTTTTTCAATGTTTGATATGTTATCCTTAAACTTTTAAATCTATGGTATAGCAAATTTTTGAATATTTATGTGGGGGAAAATATTGATAGAAACAGTTGTAAGTCATCACCATAAACTACTATCTTTCTCATATTTTTGCAAATTATAGCAAGAGTATTAATCAAAATGGGATGATAATTGGTGGCATTTCAGATTTTATGAAATACATATTCTCTATTTAACTCTTTAAAAATACTGACTACTGATTGGTATGGTAACACAAGAATCCGCTTGAAGCAGATGGCTGCTTACAGCAGTCTATGTTTTTAAGTAAAAGGTCAACTAAACCAGAATATGTTACAAGTGAATATTGCTATAACATCCCCTAAGATTTTGAAAAGAATACAACTGTGTCGCTATGCAGACTCAGAACAATCTCTTCTAGTTTTCATTTATGTAAAGAAAGGTTAAGTCTAGGAAATAAACAATTTTGATACCAAAGGGTAAAGATATCAAAAAAGAAGACTAGAATAAAATGAAATTATGCTAGAATATAGTATATTGGTTTCTGGGATAAGAGGATAGTTTGAGCATAATGCATCTAATTTATTTCCCTCCCAAAGCCCCTCTAAAATGATATCAAGGGGGTTTAAAAAAAAAGGTCGGGAGAACAAGAGAGGAGGCAATAGAAATAATCAAATTTGAAAAAGGCAAGAAAGCAGATGGAGTAAGGGCAACTGGTTCAACAGACTTGGGGAAGCTAAATTGGAAAGAGAAAAAAAATCAGAACCAAACTCATTTACACTGCAGAGTCCTCAAGAAGCTCATGAATTGGTAGCACCAGATAACTCTGGAACTAAGAATAAAGAAAGAGTGGGGTTAAAATAACAAAGTTTGAATGAAATTTGTTGGAGAAGCAGTTAGAGACCTAGATCCTCTCCTCTACCCCACAGCTTTCCCTCATCCCAACATGCTTTTTCTCTGGAGAGGGTAAAATGTGGGGTCTCAGAACTAGAGACACAAGGCCATTGAGAAAGTGAGTACTATATGAAAAGCAAGGGGATTACTTGGTCACATATACACTGAATGCAGACAGCCCCAGCCCCTTTTCCTCTAACAGGGGAATATTAGAAGCCAGATCTTTATCCTTAAGGCAGGAGATGAAGGACTTTTCTATTGAATATCTGACCAGCCCAGAAGGAAAGACCTAAGGATAATCACAAGAGGTTCTCCAAACTGCTCAACTAGATCATCCTCCAGTGAAACCCAAAGTCAGCACGTTCTACTCGTATCTTCAGAGCTCTCTCAGTCAGCTTTTAGGCCCTCTGCTGCAGAATTTCCAATCTCAGCACTGTTAATATTTTTGGATGAATAATCTTTGTTGTGTGGGATGTCCCACTAGATTCTGGTAGCACCACTGCAAACCCAGCTTTGACAAACAACATTGCAAAGTGTTGGCAGAGAGGGGGAACAAAACTGCCCCTGATTGAGAACCATTGCTCTATTCCTACTCATGAATAGACCATGGCTCCTAAGACGAGTCTCTAATTTGGAAGAGAGAGCCCAAAACAAACAAATAGAGCAACTTAGAGGAAACAGACTACTCAAGAAGAATACTTCAAATTACCATTAATATACTCAGAAAGATATTAAAAACAGGAAACCAAAAACAGAACTTTCAAAAAAAGAACACTTGAAAATTAAACACACTGAGAAATTTTAAAACTCAGTAGAAGGGTTGGTAAATAAACTTGGGAAAATCTCCCAGAAAAAGAGGAAAGAAATAGAAGAGGGGGAACTTAAAGGAATAATCCAAGAAAATTTAAGTCATGAGTAGCCCAAATTAAAAGGACTACCAAGTGCTCAGGAAAATAAATAACCCATATCTATGCATACACTACTGTGAAATTTAAAATCATTCAGGGCAAGGAGATTGTCAGGTTTCCATAAGTAGGGGTAAAGGTGTGCAGAGGGGAAGGATGATTGAGTTCACACACAATGAATAGGAATCAAAATGGCTTCAGACCTGTCAATGACAACACTAGAAGATGATGGAATAATCTTTCCATAATCATGAAGGAAAATGATTTTTAACATTTAACTCAATATCCAGCCAGATCATCAACAACCATAAAGACATTTTCAGACATGAAAAAACTCAATTGCTGCCATGTATACTTTCTGAAAAAATTATCATAGGATGTGGTTGCCAAAACAAAAGAAGAGACTAATTATAAAAATAAAAATAAAAAAACACGAAGGACAGCAAATAGGACATCCAACATAGAAGAAAGATGGAGGGAATCACTGAAAAAGCAAGGAAGAGAAATCTCAGGCTGACAGCTGTGCCTTAAGCATAGAGGACAACCAGTCCAGAATGAGAGCCATCAGTTTCCCACTGCCACTAGTCAACTTTTTAACCTGAAAACAGAATCGCTAGGTGAGCTGGATCCAGATTCTTCTGTTTTGCTTTCCTGGCCATCGGCTGATGAAATTCCTGCTCTTGTCTACTGCCTGGACCGGCAGACGACTCTCATTTCACTCTTGTGTCCTGCCTTGATGGATTCCTGAGAGCTGGAGGCAGGCATTGCAGAGCTGAAGAGTAGGAAATGCAGGGCAGCT